CCATCTATGTTGATTGAAAGCTTTGCAGGGTATAGTAGTCTGGGTTGACATTTGTGATCTCTTAGAGTCTTCATGATACTTGCCCAGGCCCTTCTGGCTTTCATAGTTTCTGATGAGAAGTCCAGTGTGATTCTGATAGGTCTACCTTCATATGTTACTTGGCCTTTTTCCCTTGCTGCTTATAATATCTTTTCTTTGTTCTGTAGTTTTAGTGTTTTGACTATGATGTGACGTGATGTGTTTCTTTTCTGGTCTAGTCTATTTTGGGTTCTGTATGGACATCTCTTTCTTTAAGTTGGGTAAATTTGCTTCTATGATTTTCTTGAAAATATTTTCTGGACCTTTGGGTCTGGAGTCTTCTTTTTAATCAATTCCTATTATTCTTAGATTTTGTCTTTTCATAGCGTCCTTGATTTCTTGGATATTTTGTGATTGGAACTTTTCTGATTTTACTTTTTCTTTGAGAGAAGTATCAATTTCTGCAAGTGTGTCTTCAGCTCCAGAGATTCTCTCTTCCATCTCTTGTATTCTGTTGGTGATGCTTACTTTTGTGGTTCCTGATCTTTTCTCCAAGTTCTCCAGCTCAAGGGTTTTCTCAGTTTGTGTGTTTTTTATTGATTCTAATTCTGTTTTCATGCCTTGCACCATTTCTTTCATCTGTTTGAATGTGGAGTCCTGTCTCTCTACGATGGTCTTTATTTCTTTGTTCATTTCCTTTTTATATGCCACTAATTTTATCTGTACTTGTGCCTCTATTTGTTTGGCTATGTTTGCTTGTGTTTCTGTAAGGATTTTGTCCATTTCTTCTTTTTTTACCTCCAATTGACTGGCCAACTCTTTGAAAGATTTGTTCATTTCCTCCTTATGAGCCTCAAATAATTGAGCAAGCATGGCTTTAAGGTCATTTTCCTGTGCTTCTGATGAATTGAAGTATCCATCAATTTTGGGGTTTGCTGGTGAAGTCATGATGTCCTGATTTATGTTGGAAGTGTTCTTTCGCCTACCCCTGGCCATTCACTTATCTGAAACCTTCCCTGTTTGTTTTTGGATTCTGCAGATCAGACTGGTACTGTCTCTCTCTGGCATCTGGAGAGTTCTTCAGGATACTGAGAAAGGTTCCGTGTCCTCAGCGTGTGCTGAGGACTAGCTGTACCTGTGGGAGAATAGTACGCAGGAGCAAACGGGGCAAATGCAGGCGTGTGTGTGTGTGTGTGTGTGTTTGTGTGTGTGTGTAAGTGTGCGTGGACATATGTCCCGAGGGACAGAGTGATGAATAATGTTGAACCCTTGATTGTGTGGGAGAGGCTCTGCACTGTATATGTTGCAGGCGCTAGTGATAATCGCAACACAATTTCTGGCATTAACTGCCTTAACTCCTCAATTTGGCCCACAGAGCACGAACTTCAATGTCCCAAGTGCCCCTCTGTTTCCCAAAGTGGGTATGTGGGTGGGAGGGGGTTCGATGCCTGGCTTCTGTTTAGAAGGATCCAGGATCTGGGCATCTGCAGATTCTCAAGGGTGCACTCTGCCAGGTCACTTGGCAGAGATCGGGGTATCTGGGTTCTCTGTTCTCTGGTTTGGCCCTGCTTCTTTGATGTGCCCCGCCAGCTCTGTGCTGCTGTCACTGCCAGGTTATGAGGTCCTGATGCAGCGTCAGTGATCTCGATCCTGAGGAGCCAGTATGGCATCTAGCAGACTCGGGCCCTGGGAGGATGGTGCAGTCGCCACGCAGATCTGGGACTCTGAGATGGGTACTGCTGGTATTTGCGGCTGCAGCCCCCAGGCAGATAAGTCTTCCCCAAACAAGTCCCAGGGTGATCTGAGACCAAAGTTTTCACCTCCTGCGATGTTCCCTGTTGTTTAGAAAGCCTCACTGTTGTTTTCCTGGGTTCAGAGGTCCTTCCACTCACTAACTCAGACATTTAGCTCTTCCACAGCTCAGAAACTGTGTGTGCTAGTTGCCATCTTGGCTCTGCCCCCCCTTCTTTCATAAGATCTCTGCATTCTGCCCAAAGTTTGGCTATGAGTCTCAGCATCTTCTACAATACCCTGATGGTAGAATCCTATATTCTTCTATTTTCGATGTTTATCCTGTTTATCCTTCTGAATGAGGATTGAGCCTCTTCCCTAGGGCCCTTGTTTACCTGCTTCTCTTTCTTGGTGGCTGTTTATGGCTCTTCCTTTTTACCTCTTCTTCTGTGCTGTGATATCATGGTCTGTGTCAGGTGTTCATTCAGGCTCTGTCCACAACACCCTGAGATTTATTTCTGGCAGGTCATTTTTTGATGCATGCTAAATGAAATGGAGGCAAACAATGGACACGATCTGTCTAATTTTGACGCAGTCATTCCTTTTTGTTACCTACCAGAATATATAAAAATGACTGCCATTCAGTAAATGGGGTATAATTAAGTTTGTGTTGTGTACTTATAATCACTTATATATTACATACTTGTAGGGGTGAGTAATACAGTTCATCCACTGAAATGCTTACCCTGTACATGTGAGAACCGAGTTCAGTTCCTGCTACCAACACAAACGCAATGAGACATGGTAGCACACTGAGATGGCAGTGCCAAGGAAGGAAGAGCAAAGCGGTTCTGCAGTTTGCTGGCTTGCAGCATAGTGTCCTCACTGACTTCTCTGTCGATGATCTGATGTCTCAAAAAACTGAAATGTCAGGCTCCTGAGGAATGACATCAGTGGTTCTTGTTTGGCTTCCATATATTTAAACATGAAATGCCTTTATTTAGTTAAAACATTTTACTCTTGACCTCATTTAGTCCATAATTGTGTAAGAAATTTATAACAAAAATACATATCTGCCTCAAATGTCCTTTAGTGTTAATTAAAATATATCTAAAAACTGACCTTTTTTAAATGTGTGGAGTTGTCATATGACATAAGAAAATTATCTGAAAATGGTTCTGTGTGGTTTCTTTTTAATTTATATTATTATTATTATTATTATTATTATTATTATTATTATTATTATTATTTACAATTTATTCATTTTGTATTTCAGTTGTAGCCCCCTCCTACATCTCCTGGTCCCATCCTCTCTCCTTCTCCCCCTCATCCCTCTTCCCTAGTCCACTGATATGTGAAGTCCTTCTTCCCTACTGTCTGACACTAGTTTATCAGGCCCTATCAGAACTGCCTGGACCCTCTTTCTCTGTGGGGTGGCTAGGTGGCCCCACCATGAGGAAGTGATCAAAGAGCAGGCAATTCCATTCATGTCAGAAACTGTCTCTTCTGTTACTAGGGAACCCATATGGAGACTGAGAAGTCTATGGGCTACATCGAGGCAGGAGTTCCTTTCTATGTATGGTCTTAGGTCAGTGCATCAATCTCTGCAGCCCCCCGGGCCCTGTTTACATTATTTTATTTTACTTTTTGGTTTTGTTGGTCTCCTTGTGTGGCTCCTGTCCCCTGTAGGTCCTTTTATATCCCTTTTATATCCCTTTTATATCCTTATATATCCATAATACTGTGTGCTCTGTCCAAAGTTTGGCTGTGAGTCTCTACATCTGCTTCGATACCCTGCTGGTTGGTGTCTTTTAGGGGACATCTGTGGTTATTGACTTCAGTTCTGTTTCCCCTCTTCTACTATTTCCAGTGTCTATCCTGTTTTCCTTTCTGAATGAGAATTAAGAATCTTCCCTTGGATCCTTCTTGTTTAGCTTCATGTCTGTAGATTTTAGTATGTTTGTATTCTATTATATGGTTAATATTCACTTATAAATAAGTTTATACCATGCATGTCTCTCTGTTTCTGGGATACCTCGACACAGGATGATCTTTTCTAGTTCCACCCATTTGCCTGGAAATTTCATTATTTCCTTCTTTTTAATTGCTGAGTAGTATTCCACTGTGTAAATGTACCACAATTTCTGCATCCATTCCTCAACTGAGGGAGATCTGGGTTGTTTCCAGCTTCTGTCTACTATGAGTAAAGCTGCTATGAACATAGTTGTCAAATGGTTGAGTATCTCTCAGATATATGCCCAGGACTATTATAGCTGGATTTTGAGGCAGCACTAATCCCAGTTGTTTGAGAAAGCACAGATTGATTTCCAAAGTGGCTGTTCAAGTTTACATTCCCACCAGCAATGGAAGAGGGTTTGCCTTTCTCTACATCCTCTCCAGCATGTGTTGTCATTTGAGTTTTGATCTTAGCCACTCTCATAGGTGTGAGATGGAATCTCAGAGTCATTTTGATTTGTATTTCTCTGATGACTGAGGACATTGAGCATTTCTTTAAATGTTTCTCTGCCATTTTATATTCCTCTGTTGAGAATTCTGTTTAGCTCTGTACCCCATTTTTTAGTTGGTTTATCTGGTTTGTTGGTGTTTTATTTCTTGAGTTCTTTATATGTGTCTCATATTAATTAGCCCTCTGTCAAATGTAGGGTTGGTGATGATCTTTTCCCAGTCTGTAGGATGCCATTTTGTTCTGATGACAGTATCCTTTGCTTTACAGAAGCTTTTCCAATTTATTGATTGTTGATCTTAGAGCCTATGCTCTTGATATTCTGTTCAGGAAGTAGTATCCTGTGCCAATGAGTTCAAGGTACTTCTCTACTCTTTTTTTCTTAACAGATTTAGTTTGTCTCATTTTATGTTGAAGTCTTTGATCCACTTGGACTTGAATTTTGTGTAGGGTGATGAATATGGATTTATTTACATTTTTCCACATGAAGACCTCTAGTTAGACCAGCACTATTTGTTGAAGATGCCCCCCCTCTTATTGCAGAATATATCCCCTGGATTTCAATTACTCAGCTAATATCCAACCAAATTCACTATAGATTACTCTACTATTACAATTAAAAGTAGATAAATTAAAACTTCTAGAAACAAATTACTGCCACTATTAACAAAAGTAACTGGACACAAAATGTATTTAAGAATTATATTTCACTTTCACTGTGATAATGTCTTTAAATGTTATATGTCTTTAAATTGTTATATTAAGATAACATTTTCATATTTTATAGGCTTGAATCAAAGGAGCCATTTCTGTCTGTTGGGTGAGTATATATTTAAATTTGGGTGTTTTAAATTAAATTTAGCAGGGCAACATAAATGATATTTCTAGTCATCTTGCATCATTTTTAAAATTGTTGCTTGTCACATCCTGAAAGAAAATGCTACCTTTGTTCTGTAAAGATTTAACTGAAATGCTTCTGACTTCATGCATTCAGCTAACTGCTGCATAAAGTGCCCTCTATCTCCTTTAACGTTGTGCAAGGTATGATGAATATTCTTTTTTCCACCCAGGAAAGAGAAGCTCAAATTGATTTTGGAAATTCCTCTAATCCAGAGATTTATCATTCTTTAGCTTTGTACCTATTTTGTATATGTATACTACAGTAGGTGTTTATTTTCCCTCCTGAGGTTCTCTCTATATTCTTCTTAACCTCTATATACTGTGCTTTCTTTTCTTCACTGCACTGTATTCCTCTCAACTTCCCACACTAACAGCTTCTAAGAAAGCTGTTAACTCTTAAGGTAGATAATGCTGAGGTAATGGTTGCCTTTCATGAGATACTCTATCAGCAATGTTGCATGTTGTAGTAATAATATAGTATTGGTAAGCAGAATCATATACTATTCTTAGGCTGTTAGAGCTAAGAATAAGTTGTGTTGCATCTTTTCTGGTGTGTTGAATAATCCTTTGTTTATTTATGCAAATATCCTATAAAGGGATTGCAAATACTCAGTATTATGATGGATGTATTAAGATGTAGAAAACTGTTGTCATGTCATAAATAATTCAGAAAAAAGTCACATTGCTGCAGCCACTGTGCTCATGCTTAGTAATCAGACACCTGTGATGGGAATAAATTTTTAAAAACTCAGATCAGCTTTAATTTTTTAAATCACTTTGTTCACAGTTCTAGACTATTCCCATTATGCACTGAACAACATGGCTCCAAATTCTCTTCCACTCATCAAAGTTTTTCAGTGAGCCTTTCACCTCTTGAAAATCAAAACAATTGTCAGGGAAGGTGAAAAATGAAGCAGATGTATTTTATTAGAGAACTTCATGAAAAATAAAAGACCAAGTTGGTCGGATGATTTATATAAAAAAAATCATTGCAGATTACTTTGGTCCTGCTTTGATCAGCCCCTATTGTTAAAAATCTCTGTAACCACAAGGAAATCTTATTTAAATGCTTACTTGTCTGTCCTCCAGTCAAGAGTGCTGAAATAACTTTGCTTCATGCCTGACTTAATAACGTGTCTTTGCAGCCTTTTCTGCTCTCATTACTTTTAGATGGATCCATCTTTTTATTGTACACCTGTCTTGAACAAAGGCAGATCCTAAGTAATCTTTATTTTAAGCTTATCAAGAGTTTAGAGCTCAATATTTCAGCAAGGAGACCCAACTATACCTAATAAGCATATTGTGTAACTCAGCAAGTGCATAAGAAGGGACTATTAGTATGACACTGTGTGTTTCTGTTTTCTTCATATGTCTTAAAAGTAAAATGTTTCTGCTGATTGGATGTTGCTCTTTATAGATAAATATCTCCATTGTAATGATAATTATTTTAAATAATATTGTCCTAAAGTATACATGTAACTCTTTTCTGCCTCTATTTAATAAGATCTCATAAACACAAGATACTTGTAAACCTAACAGATACAAGAAAGTCTCTAAAAAACAAATTCAGGTTAATGAATTAATGCACAGTCACAAAATGAAGCAAATAAATGCATGTCTACAGTTGATAAGTTGGTTGACACATTGGTATGCAATATTGAATTTGCCTCACATGTATTTACTTTGCTTTCAATAAAACCCATGTGAATCATGTTAGCCAAAAAAAAAAAAAAAAAAAAAAAAAATCCCAAATGTTGCATACTTTAATTCATCATCTATCATTATGTAAAAGTTTTCAATATATATTCAAAAATGTATCCTTGGCTCTCTTAAGTTCAGCTAGTTACTGCTAGCTGCATTCACTTAGACAATTTCTTAAACTTTCAACATCAGGTTCTCATTGGCAAACTGAAGGTTAAGGAAGATATTTGGATTGAGCAGTTTATATTATTCTTGGCATGTATGAATTGTTCACAAATGTCAGCTTTTTTATAATTTTCAGATATATATGACAAGTTCTCTTAAAAAAGTCAATCATTTATCACTGCATAACTCAGAGTATAACATGTGTGTGTGTGGATGTGTGTGTGTGTGTATATATATTTATTTATTTATATGTATATATATATATATATATATATATATATGTTAGTATGTTTTGTGGAATGTATACAATTTACCTTTGTTCATTCAAATGCAGATTTCTCTACCTCACTATCTGGTTTCAAGGCAGACACTGCATTGTGATGTTTATTCTAAGCATCACCTGTCTCAAGTTTTTGTAAACATGCCACCATTTGTTCTCTGTATTGCCAACAGAACAACCAGCCAATGCTGCACAATGGAGAGAATAGGGTAGGATATCCTGGTCTGGAGAGGAGGAGAAAAAAGTGAGTGGGAGGACTCAAATTGGGCAGATCAGCAGGAGAGGACTTGGAACCACCAGGAGAGATGAACCTGATATAAGATATGATTAAAAGCAAGCATAATGTGAGAAATCTGAAGGGGAGGAAACTATATGGACTTGGAGGTTTAGGATAGAGTAACTATTGCCCAGCATTGTTCTCTGGGTTAATTAAATAAATCCTAGTCTCTGTGTGGTGATTTGGGTATACTGCCAGTTTAGGAATAACAGTTTAACTAAAAGATAAATCAATATTAAACACACACACACACATAAATTGAATGACACGGGCATTCCTAAAAGACTTTTATTATGAGGCACTGTATTAAATGATGAGTTTTTCCATCAGTATCTTTATTTTGAACATGATTATTAGATGGATAAAGTTTTCGATTTCACTGTGTCAGAATATTTTCTGAAACTCTGAGCCATCTCTTCAGTCAGAATAATTTCTAATGCTCTGGAGAATCCAAAAGTTATGGTGACATATATCGGAAAATATGCTATTATTATGCATTTTTCAGCTTGGTTGGAAAACATGAAACAATGCATCAAGGATAGAAATATAAGTGTTTTTGTATCTATCCCTTTCATATCATAAGCTGTATGAGTGAGCTGATCAAAGTCTGGACCTCTGTGTCCCATAGGATGCATGAGAGCTGTTTTACTAAGTCTAAACAGCAGGGCCAAATGATATTTGGGTAGGAGAACTCATTCTACCAAAATTGTTCACAGGAAGCCAAGAGCTAAGTTTTCATTAAATGATGCTCTTTGAAAAATAGCTCCATATTAGAACTCAGTTTAACCATGAAATTCTTATTGAGTCCAGGAATATTATTCCAAGTGTAATAGACAACCTTAATCTATACATTTATGTTTTGTGATACTATTAGCTGCATATTTTAAGAATACAAACTCTGTGAATTGATTCTCTTGATCTGAGTGCCTTCTTGGTGTTTCTTAGATAACTTGGAAAACTGATTTAGCTCTTCTATGAATCTGTTTTTCATCCTATGGCAGTCTATAATCCATATAATTATGGTCAATAAGATCTACATCACATGCTTAGAAAAATATTTGACAAAATAGTAAATAGGAAGTAAATACCAATTTCTATTAATATTTTGTGAAATGATCAGTGAAGTTATCAGTCTTTCCCCCAAGAGGTAAGTTTCACTGAATTATAGCCTAATGGCCAACTGTCAGGCAAAGTGAATGGAATTTTAGGTAAGGAATGGGAAATAGCAAGAGCTGGAGAGGACAGGAACTCCACAAGGAGAGCAACAGAAGAAGAAAATTTGAACACAGGGAACTTCCCAGAGACTCATACTCCAACCAAGGACTATTCATGGAGATAATCCAGAACCCCTGCACAGATGTAGCCCATGGCAGTTCAGTTTCCAAGTGGATTACATAGTAATGGGAAGAGGGACTGCCTCTGACATAATCTGATTGGCCTGCTCTTTGATCACCTCCCCTTGAGGGGGGAGCAGTCTTACCAGGCCTCAGAAGATGACAATGCAGCCACTTCTGATGAGAACTGATAGTCTAAGATCAGAAAGAAGGAGAGGAAGACCTCCCCTATCAGTGGACTTGGGGAGTGGCATGCATGCAGAAAGGGGAGGAATGGTGGGATCGGGAGGGGAGGAGGGACGGGTTTATGGGGGGTACAAAATGAATAAAGTGTAATTAATAATAATAATTAAAAAAGAAAAAAAAAGAAATTCTAAGTGATAAAATCTAAGTTTGTGACTATTACAGAGAGGCAGTGAGGGGAAGAGAAGTTCATCCAAGAATGAAATTAGCATAGGGTTATTCAGTGACTGTTCATAGTGTGTGTAGAGCCTCTGAGGGACTGTAGTAAAGAAAAAACAAAACATCATCATAAAGAGATGAAGACAGAACAAGTATATCAGATTTTTAGATAGTGTAGAGTGTCATTAAACCCTTTATAAAAGAAACACAGACAGCAGGATACTGCTGATTTCAGGTTTTTATCAAGGATCAGCCTAATGTAAAAGTAGAATTATACAAATGTATGCTAATCATTTAATAATTAAGAAGTTTTATTAATTTTGGTATTTAAAACGTTGAGCAGAGGATTAGGACATTTTTTTTAAGGCACAAATGAAAGCTACATTCATGTTTAAGGAGAGATAAGCTTTTAGTACAGTTGTATTAAGAATGGCATTCATGGAAGAAAACACTGGGTAGGTGGCAGCAGACAGACGTTATTGTGCTAATACCAGATATATTAGCAAGCTTGAAAGGTTCATACAAAGACAGGAGAAACCAAAGGTTAGCAGAAATTATTGGACCCACTGTACTGTGAATGATCACAGGCCTTCCTTTTTGTTTCAGCTGAAGAGTAACATTACCTAAAGGAAGTTGTCATAGAATCACTTAGTTCTTATTACAATACTTTAGAGATGGCCTGAAAATGTAAGGTAGAAATGAATGGTATAACAGTTAAAATGCCTGTTGCAATTATTTACTTTGAGTTTATCAGAATAAGT